CAGTGCCGGCGCCCCTGCCCCTGGCCATGGAGATGTCATGTGACCAGCGCTTGTACCCCTACCCCTGGCAGTGGAATAGTCATGTGATCAGCACTTGCACCCCTACCCCTGAGGGTGGAGATCATGTGACTGGCGCCCTGGCCTCTACCCCTGGCTGTGATGCTGTCACGTGACCAGCGCTCTGGCCCCTCCCCCTGGCTCACAACATCTCACAATAGATGGGGGAATGGAATGGAACATTTACAGTGTAGTGGGTGGAGGAAAAGAGGGTGGGGGTACTTGCCACAACAGTGAACTACTTACATGTCATCCTGTGAAAACTTCCTCAAGCAGCAGGGAATGCCAGCTCAAATTGCCTCCTCTCTGGGATGTAGATTAGGCCTGCATAAGGACCTTTGCCTCCAGCAGGCAGAACAATGCCTTGCCACTTGTCCTCCACCTTGCTGATTACCATGATGGACTGCTTGAAGTGACCTGCTACAGCCTCCATCATGATCTTGTCCTTAGCTGCAGTGCCATGAAAGGTAGCCACAAGATGCTTGATCCTAGAATCACTGCCGAGGGGATGACTGACTTCAAGAAACAAGTCAGGGTTCTCTTTGAAGTACTTGCTAGCCCTGTTCTTTACCTCCAAAGCCCGGTTCTGGTCCTGGAACAGGTACATTGCCATGGCCACATAGAGACTGTTGTGACCATCCTTGATGCCCTTGGTGTATATGATGCCAGGCAGGATGGGCTTTTGTATCTTCATCCCTTCCCATCCAGGGTTTGGGAGGAGGATAGAGGCATGGATGGGATGGACAACTGACCTTGCATCAACCACCTCAGGCTCCATCATACTTTGTCCTGCCCCTACCTTGCTCTTCTTGGGATCAAAGCCTTCCAGGACACCACCTGACCTTCTCTTCCTTGTCAGTGCGCCTGGAGTGTCTGGCTGCTGGTGGCTGATGTCTTCTGTTGGCATCCACTCAGACGCACCACCAGAGCTTGTCTCATCACCCAGATCATCTAGGTCATCCAGCTCATCACCCTCTCCCTCTACTGCTTTGTTGTCCTTGCTCTTGGGAGATGGCAGTGGCTCCTGGGTGACTCTGTTTGGCCTTGGACTTAGCTCTTCCTCCTCAGAGTCCTCTTCTTCCTCCTCCTCCTCTTCCTGTGGCACTTTGATGCCCAAGCCATCAAGTACATCTGTTGGAAACTTCCCCTGCCTCACCATCACCTCAAAATGCTCCTTGGCAGATGACATGCCCATCTTGTAGGTGCACTT